CCTTGCCCCCTTTTGTTAGTCTCTCAGTAACTATAAATTGGCACCTGATACTTTCCCAGCAAGGATACTGAACAACCTTTTTTTCTTTTTTGCATCTCTGAAATTTAGATGGCACGTTATAATCTTACAATTTTAATTGTCAGGAATTTTTCTTTTCCTACTGGCACATAAAATAATAGTATATCTTATAGTTTGTAGCATTACTGAATCAAGAAAAATGGATATTTATGCATATAATAAAAGTATATAGGAAGAAAAAGGAAAAAAAAGGAACACAAACTTCTAGAATAGTGCTCACTATAAACAAATCGTTAATGTCTTTCTATTCTACAGCGTATTTGTATAATGAAGGGAGGTTTATTATTTCATTGTATTTATAGAGGAAAGAAATTTGGACTTGTAGTGATAATTTAAAATTTTAAGTCTTCATTAGCCCTGCCTGTATATACAGTGAGGCAGACGAAAGAGTCAGACTTTTCAGGTTATTAGCCAACTGTTACTTTTTATTTGAAAAGCATGGCTAAAAACCAAATTGTTATTATTTAATATTAATTGAATAGCAAGTCCAGGTTGCTGCTGACTCCTCATATCCTCCATCCTTGGCTAGAAAAGGACATTCTCAGATGGTCTGCCTTGTGTTACTATAAAGAGAAAAGAGAAAGAGAAAACCTTGTGATTGACAACCAAAATGGCTTTTGCATTGTGACTATGGATCAGAGCTTCCACTGTGGCTTGCAAGAGCTCAGTTGATATTGATAAGGAAGAGACTGATAATGAGTGCCTTGTGTCCCTAACACTCATTACCTAGGTTTAAAGAAAATCTCACATTAGCTTTATAACTATGTAAGACTTGAGATTTCTCTAGCTATTTATTACCATTTAAAAATTACTCCTGGCTCTATCTATTAGCACTGGTATCATGTATTCGCTGGTAGACTCACAAGCATGGAGTCAGTAGAGAGACCCAGGGAGAGGGTTGAAAGGATGGTTTGTGGTGCTGCAGTGCTGTACTTTTATTCATCTTACACATCCCCCTTTCCTGTTCCTGTGCCTGCAGCGAAGCTGCCGCCCATGCTGTCGCCACCCTGGCGGAGGCCACCTTACAAGGTGGGGGACAGATCGTCTTGTCTGGGGAAACCGCAGCAGCCGTCGGAGCACTTACTGGAGTCCAAGATGCTAATGGTAAGAGAGCATAAATATTTTATTGAATTTCTTCCCTGTTTCCATGTAAACCTTCCTGACAGGACTGGCAACAAACCTTCAGAAAGAGGTTGAACTTTGGTTTGAGTTTTTCTTCATTTGTAGGTATTTGATACCGAGGAACATTCTAGGAGCTTCTGATTCCTTTCAGTAGTAGGAGACTTGGGCATCTCCTGAAGGAAAATGCCATGATAATGGCTACCTAATTGAGTTGTTACTTAAAAAATGATTATTTTGCTATGACAAGACTTGCTGAGAGGCACTTTAAAATTTGCTCTTGGGCACATTTTGTCCTTTACTCTCTCATGGGGTAGGTAGGTCAGTGTCCTTTACTGTAGCAGAGACTCTCCCATGGATGAGTTCATTGTGGTAGGGTAGAGCGTTCTGACTGTCTCCAGAAAGGTGCCACCCTCTCATCCGTCCACAGGGTCGGGCAGCAGGATGTGATGAAAGCACTTTTCTGGTTGGTGCTGTGGGTTCTGCTTCCCATTATATGTGACCTCATGAACGACCTCTGGATTTAACCAATATCATGCCACCGTCCCTGCCCTTCTTTCCCAGCTCTTGACTTCCTGGATATTGGTGAATATCTCAAATAAACAAAAGAGATAAAGTTCATAGAAATATGGTGGCAAAAATGTACAGCTTGGCTGGGCGCGGTGGCTCACGCCTGTAATCCTAGCACTCTGGGAGGCGGAGGCGGGCGGATTGTTTGAGCTCAGGAGTTCGAGACCAGCCTGAGCAAGAGCGAGACCCCGTCTCTACTAAAAATAGAAAGAAATTAATCCGACTACTAAAAATATATACAAAAAATTAGCCGGGCATGGTGGCACATGCCTGTAGTCCCAGCTACTCGGGAGGCTGAGGCAGAAGGATTGCTTGAGCCCAGGAGTTTGAGGTTGCTGTGAGCTAGGATGACGCCACGGCACTCTAGCCCGGGCAACACAGTGAGACTCTGTCTCAAAAAAAAAAAAAAAAATGTACAGCTCCAGTGGATCCAGCTCTTTGGGAAGTGCCTCAGAAGTCTGGATCAAAGAGAAGGACCAGCTCAATTCTGAGAGACTCTATATGATTGTTTCTTAGACTTACAAATATATACATATATAATTAAGCAGGACAAATTAAGTACTCTATGGTTTGGGGGAAATTGTTGCTCTAAAGTCCTGGAAAGAGGATAGATAAATAACATATTTTTTTAAGGCAGAAAGTTCCTTAATGGCATCAGTGGCTGAAAGAAAAGTTCTAGGCACTTTTTTTTTGGTAGGTTTCTAAAAACTGAATATGCTAGTAGTTGGAAAATCTTTGAAGAAAGGCACAATGCTGTGCCCTTCCTTGGAAGTAGGAAGAAACAAAGTACTTCTGTCCCTCCAGAGAAGAATGACATAGGAAATGCAAAGAGCCATTGTGGCATCTGAGAATCATTTTCCAACAAAAGCCAAAAAAATCCAAACTAAAACTATACTATAAACTAAACTATACTAAAACTATAGCCTGCTTTTTCTGTAGGGCTAGGGGCTTTCATGAACTAACCTAAATCAAGACAGAGTTGATCTTAGCCAGAATGCTACAGGATAAAGGGCATCTTATAGCCATGTGTGTTCAGGATGAAGTGGACCATAGATAGAATTAAGGAAAACCTCTCTCTATAGCCAGAATCCCGCCCCTATTTTCTTACCTTTTACTATTCCTAATGGTAGTCCTAATCTACCCTGAACAATGTAGGATAGGATAGGATAAGTGGCTATGTGGCATTTCTCTGAAATATGCTTGCCATTAGTCACTATGGAACTGCTAAAAATACTTCCCATGTGGGTTTCGTAGGAGACTTTGTTATCCATTCTAGTCAACTTGACCTGTCTGGGAGAGAACAGACTGCTTTATAGTACTGCTCCTTCCCCAGTGTCACCTGTTGAGATGGATGAATTTATGGGTAAGTCTAAGGACCCTCTGGGTTTCTGGCCAAGTAGACACGTTCAGCCATACAATAAAGTTGAACCATACCCACTGCTGTTGATCACTGGAAGCTGCCTATTTTCGGCAGCCTTAGATTGTATGAATCAATTGGTGTGATTTCATGTTGTTGGCTGCATTCGTGGTGATTCTAGTCCATATCCTAAAAGCCAGTAGTTCCTCCAAAGCAGACCATCCCCAGTTTGTGACTTCCAACACTTGCTGAACTCAGGCCTGAAGAGTTGGAGTTATCCTTGTCTTGGTGCAGCTTTTCCATATCAAATCAGATCCTTGACTTGTGCCTTATCCCAGCAATTTTAGGCAAAGGCCAATCATTTTATCTGCCCTTGGGAATCCAGAGAATGAATCTAATATTGTAATTTTTAGGTGATGGAGTCTCGCTATGTTGCCCAGGCTGGTCTCAAATTCCTGGCCTCAACCAATCCTCCTGCCTCAGCCTCCCAAAGTGCTAGGATTACAAGTGAGCTACCACACCCAGCCGAATCTAATATTGGATATGATCCAAATAATTCTGATATTCCTTCTGTCTTCTAATATTTTTAGCCAGAGTGCTATAGGATTTTCTTCTGGGAGTAGAACTAGGTTATTCCCACTTAATCAGCATATTCGATATCCGGCTAGACTTATAGGGGTTCTCTTTTCATCATTCTTTCAGATTATGTCCTGTTGCCAGTGTTTGTCACTTCTGTAATAACAGGCTTATGGGATCTGCCAGTGGGCCAACTTTTTTTTTTTTTTTTTTTTAATCAGGAAGAGTTTATTATCAGGAAGAACTAGGTTATAGCAGAACAAGTGCTATTTGTTGGCATAAAACTAACGTGGTAATGGATACTACCAGAAAAAAAAATGCATTCCAGATTTCAGAGTATGGTTTAAATAAAACTCCAACTAGCAGATGACTCTTCTAAGAGCAGTTTGGATATTGTTCAGGCCTGAAGCAGAAAGAGATTGTGGGATGGAACGAGCAGGGACAGAGTGCAATAACCAGTGGGAGGTGACTGGGATAGGGGAGACTAGGAAGGGATGTCCTGGAGGGTGGTGATTCTCAAGGTAAAGATAATGAATGACCCATGCATGGCAGAAGTTTAAATTCCAGGTCACCAAGGCAGACCTGATGAAAACATTACACCCTGCATATGTGTACCCTAAAGACTTCCT